CTTATTACATCCCCTAATATTTCCTTTACTTATTACATCCCCTGACGTCAATTAATTCTACGTTAATGATAACGGTACTCTAGATATATTTAAAACGATATTATATTGTCCGTTTTGAGTATAACTTTCACAAATTTATTTGTTTGCACTCTCACCCTCCAATAGTTAACCAATCCGTCCACTCTCGAACAGGAATGAGAGTTTGCTCTTATCCAAGACTCCAGCTCCTGACACACCTTGATAGAGTACAACCACGATCTCGAGTATCTCCACAATAGTATAATATTGTTTGTTTTGTGCATAACTCTCACGGTTTTGTTTTTTGTTTCACCCAAAATGTTTCATATCAACGGAGATAATTGTTCTCTCGTATATGTACCATTGATCATGCTATTTCCTATATGATGTGTAACTTTGTACTTTGCACTCCTTACAAGCCTGACATTCTACTCCCTCTCTCTCTTCTAATCTTTCATGGCTCACTTCATTAAGTTCGTAGGTTCGAATTCTCACTCTCGCCCTATATATTAATGTTTTTCTAAGGGGAGGACTTGTGAAATACAAAGAGAAAAAAAAAAAGTAATGGAAGGAGGATTTTTTGAATCTATGTAATCATTCTTGTATGAGCTTACTAAAAAGTTACTGACCATAAAGAATAAAGGAAAAAGGTATGTACTGACCAAAATGACTTTGAATTGGTCTATGATAAAAAGCCTATTTTACTAATAAGTGAGCTATACAAAAATATGGATGGAAACGAACAAGTTAGATAATGGAAGAATGATTAGCCTCGAAGAAAAGAGACCTATGTTTTAGAGGAGCATTTCTCGGATTTTTGTAAATTAAGTTCTTTGTCGGTGCCAAATACGTCAAGATAGTGACGTTTTCTTAGTACAATAAGAGTGGGGCGGGAGAGTGACGTTTTCTTAGTACAATAAGAGTGGGGCGGGAGATTCGAACTCATGACCTCTTGTTTAAASATAGATACCAATTTCCACTGAGCTAAACTCATATAGGCAGATAATGATGTGTTTTCTTTATGTCGTCTAATTAATTCTTGGTAAAATAATACTCTCATGAATAGCTAGCAAAACTTCGTTTAGGGAGCACTTGAACGCTTCTTTTAGCCCTTATTTTTATGTTCTGGACTAACTAGTAGAATGTTTACTTTTATTTTTTTAATTTTTTCTGATGTTTTCACCCTTCTTTGTGGTGTATCTCAATGATATGTTGGTTTTGTACTCTGTCTTATAAAATATGTATACTTTTTGCTATCATAGATTTACCTGAGGTCGAAGCAAGCAAATAAAATAAAAAATCAACCTGAGTATAACTCAATTGGTTAAGACACTTATTTCGATTAAAAGCTCGTGACGATTTTTTTTCTCATTTTTTAAACTTTGAATTTTTCATTTCTCTTTTGGTTCATTCTTTCTCCTCTCTTGCTACTTCTCCCACTCGATATGGATCTTCATTCGATTGGAATTTTACAATCAAATAAACAACAAACAGTTGATTTTTTCAACCAATTATTGCATAGGCACGAAGAATATCTTCTTGTTTGATTCTCTCTCAATCTGTGAAGAAATTAAATAGCTTTATTTCACCATGGGCAGCCCCTACCAACAAAGCAACAAAAAATCACAAAGATTTGATTGGTGTCAAATCTAACCCATAATAATTTTTACTTTGAAAAGTAATTTTAGAGTGTAGCAGTAGCAAATAGGGTCGAATCCATAAATATTGATAATTAAGTTATTTATTAAAATAAGATTGGAGGGTTTTTTAGAAACTACGGAGATAAGAGTAGACAAGAGAACAAGCGAGGAGACAATATTGAAAAAGATTAAACCAAAGATATAATTTAAGTAATAAATCTTTGAATTATTGTTGATTAATTTAAAAATTAAGTTTTCTTTATTCATTATATGGTTATTTGGAAGCCCTAACAAACTATTTCTCCTTAGTTATTTGATAATCAAGGAACATCCCTTAATTATTTTCATTGTCAAAAAACAACTAGAGAAGTTTTTAGAATTTAATTTATCAAATACCATTAAAATTAAGAGGGACGACCAATTCTGACTAACAAATAAGAAATGTTCAATTCAAGGATTAGGTTGCACACGTTCGATGACATAATAAAAAAAATCTAGTGGTAATCAATTATGTTACTTTGCTTCTAGATATTAGAACATTAGAACAATAGCTTAATATCAATAAATTAATCAAACAATAGTTTAGCTAATTACAGAAAAATATGGAAATATGAAGAAAAACAAAAAACAATAAATTGCATTTAGAATAAAACACCAACTAATTTTTATCTGGAAAAAAAATCAAAAAAGTTATGAGAAGAAAAAGAAAATTTCTAGAAAAGGAGACTAAACATAAACAATAACATGACATTCTCTCCTATTTATAGGGATTAATTATCTTTTAAAGAGGAATTATCTTTACCTCAATATCATATTAAATATGATTAAACTACCAATGAATCGAAAAACTTAATTTGATAGGTTATGGTAAATTTAATTCATTTATGTGATATCTAACACTCCCTCTCATAGACTTGAAAATATTGTACAAGATTCAACGAGCGAAAATCAATATTAAATGAGGAGAAAATGACAATACAAGAAGTTTGAACACAAGACCTCCTATTCTGATATCATATTCTTCACGTGTTTTCCATTATGATTATATATCTTTATTTATGAAATAGACTAATAAAATTCTATTTTATCTTTTAAAATTGTGATTTAAATTAAAATTCCTTCTTTTATCTATATCTTGATCTCCAAAATATTAAAGTAATTAAATTCAATTTAATAATAAAATGTAAAATTGAATAATTAAAATATAAGTATATTTTGTATCTTATATATAATATATATAATTATTTTTCACCCTCATTTAAATGTGAGCTATCTTAGCAATACTTTCTGGCATGTCCTCTGTCCTTCAACTGCCATATATAATAACAATGGCCATAAACAGAAAATGTTAGGTTAAGCTTTTAATGGGGCTGTGATAGCACATTTGACTTCTTTTGTGTATTTATTGTAAAAGTTCTTTTTTTTTTTTTGTGATATATATATATATATATATATATTTATTTTATTTGGTAGTTTGATGTATTATTATTTAGAGTAAGCCTTGAAATCAATACATAAGAGGATGATAAGTTTGAAATTTGGGATATTTTTCTTTTAAAGGGACTTTGGACCTTTATTCAATGAGAATATTGTCGTTTTATATAAATTTTGGATGCGAGAGAAGTTGGTTCTCTTTCTCCGAGTTTTTGCATGCCATATGTAAGACTCGAATAAATTGTAATGATGAGTGTAACTCAAATTCCTATTAAAAAAAAGAATTGAATAAGTCCACGATAATTGTTGCAATTTTTACTTCTATTCAATTTCCGCTAGTTCACACATTAAAATTTAAACAAAAAACTCCAAAAACAAACTCATAACTTAATAAGTTTGATTAATGCACAAAACAGACCATTAAATTAAATAACTATATCGAAATATACAAATTAAAATAAAAAAACAGCTCTAGTGTCGTTTTTGTCTAAAATACTATTAATTTCATACCAACTATATATTTTCTAATTCATTTAACACATTATACGACAACATTTTTTCAACAAATTTTCAAATAGAAATCTATTAAAGAATAAAAATTGCAACATCTTTTAAAGTTAACGTAAAGATTGAAACACTTATCTAAATTTAAAATGTAGTTTGATGAAATTTGAAATTTATGGTAAAAACCGCGCAAATATTTTCGTTAATACTTATTAAATCAACAATTTTTTTAAATTACCCCAAGATCCAAGCAGATAAAAGAAATGCTAAAACATTAAAACAAAGCGCTCAAATTAAACTAACTAATTAAAAGCAATTATCTACAAAGTTGGAAAGAATCAATACCCAAAAAAAATGGTCTCATTCATCCATATAAGAAGGCTTATAGCTACTCACAAATTTTTATTTAAAAAAATAGAAACTAAAACTAATTAAGAGTATTAATTTCAACTTAAGTGTAGGATAATGATGGAAACAAGGCGGGTTGAAATGGGGATAATGTATTAAAAAAAATTATTAACAATTTTTTTAATTCAAATTCTAAAAATAAATCTTTAGCTTTAAAGCAATAGATTTTTTTCTTCCCTTTGCAAAAACCAGCAGGGGTTGTTACAATCTTTTGTTTATAAAAGTGGGTTCAAAAGAAAGGTCATTGTTTTTAAGTATAATAAGAAGTGGGCGTGGGATTCGAACCCACGAAATGAAATTTTAGACAGTGATATATTACATATGCCTTATTAAACTATGCTTATTTGGCGGTTAAACATGAGTTTGACCCAATTAATCTGATAATCTCATATTAAAAAGGTGCTTACTAATTTTTCCCGTAATAAATTATCCACCATAAACTCCACTTTTTTCACTCATCTCTTTTGAGCCTTGGCGATCTTTCTCGAGAAAGCTACCGAGAAAACACTTATATTTTGAGGCTAAAATCCTAGTTTTAAATTTTCATTGACATGTCAAATATTTTCAAATTTATGAATTCGACATTGTCATGATGAACAATCGACATTTTTATTATATCACAAAAAAATTGATAAAATATAAAAAAATATATATTATATGTATCACTGTATACTATTAATAAGTTAAAATGGAATGTTTAATTATTTATTAATTTAAATCTTTTTTATTATTGTTATGATTTTTCCATAAATATTCCATCACCCATCGATATTAAATATCAATATTTAAAACATTTACTAAAACTAAGTTAATTTTACGATAATCTAGCAAAATGTTAACCATACAATTCAAAACTTATTTCGGTCCTCTGTTCTGAAGAGATAAATATACACACGCCCAAAAAAGAACACCTAATATTAAAGAATTGGGTTGAGTATAAATATAACTCAGTTTTTAAGTTGTGGAAATCAAAAACCATTCTAATTTTAAGTTTAAACAAATTTTTTGTATCGGCTTTTATAGTCCATCATGATGACCCCGAAGGGAAGCATGCTCGTCTTTATTGGCATTCTCTTGGTTAGCTTCAGAATGATTGAGATTACGAATGCAATACAATACATCAATTACCATGCTTTGAAAACAGATGTAAGTCCGGGATGTAGTCCTAAACATCCTGGACTTTGTAAATTACATGAGGCCAACTCATATCAAAGAGGTTGTAGTGCAATCAATCGTTGTAGGAGAGATGATTACATAGATAGTGAAGAAAAAATTAAAGGTGATGCAAAAAATCATATCGATGATGATGAAGACGACAACGTTAAAGGTCATGCAAGACATGATGATATCAAAGATGATGACAAAGAAAAGATTAAAGGTGATTATCGAGGAGACGATATCAACGATGACGAAGAAAAGACTCTTAAACGCGGTGCAGGAAGTGATATCAAAGACAGTGAAGAGAAGATTAAAAGAGAAAATATTCTTAAAGTTGATGTAGGAAATGATACCAATACTCTTCAAGTTGCACGCAAAATCAATCCAATTCCACACAAGTGAGTAAATTGTGATGATGCAAAATGTATTTTACATTGAATTTTGTAGTGAGATAAATTATTTATTTTTTAATATTCATCTCCATGGAATAGTGGACACAAAAAAATGGATTAAGAGTGAATATAAAATGAGTGGTAGATTAATAGTGTTAAAAATCACACGTTGAAAAGATAAATAACCTAACAAAAATTTATAATATATATGAGTTACTCCTTTTATTGTAAATTTATTTTGAAATAAAATCTCAAGATTATTGATACGGTATTAGAGTCATCGTATAAAGTTTGGTAACTTCAGTAAATAATCATTTTCAAACTTTCGATAAGCATGTGCGCATAACATTTGTAGTGTTAACTAGTTCAGAAAAATGAACAATGTTTTAAAAAATAAAATATTCCAATTTTTTTTAGAATAAAAATATTCCAATTCAACTATGCTCAAGTTTGCAATATACAACATACAATTACGTCTTTGAGTTTATAGATTTGGTCTCTTAAATTGAACGTAATGAGTAAGTTTATCGGGATTCTTTTAAAAATAATGTTTTCTCTAGAACTAATTTAAAACATATACCAACTCCAAACTATTTCTAAGAATAATGTTCGAAAGAAAAACGACTTACGCCACCTCACGATTTTCTAGTAGTTGCATGGCGTTTAGTTGGCACCATGTGTTTTTTTTTAATCTAGCATATCGTCTTTTTAAAATGCGACTTATACCATAATTTTACAAATTTGCGTAGTGCTTATACTTCTACTTTTTAATTTAAAAGGTCCTGTGAGGTCGTGTAGGTCGTCTTTCCAAAAGACACTTGTAATTTTTCCAGCATTATTGTTGAAAATGGTCATAAAAAAGTCAAGTTTATAGTGATGGATGTTTTCACATTTATTATAATTACTACAAATAGTTACAAAAATAATTTAAAGAATCACATATATGTAGTAAAAAATGGAAGGCAGCTTATTACTATAATTATAATCATCAATATATAAGTTAATATGCATAGTTTTTGTAATTATTGGTAATCAATATTGGTTATATGTGAATCAAAAAATATTGAAAATTTGTAAGTAATTAATAAATTTTAACAAATACTATATTTGTAATTATTTTTTTAAACGATGTTATATTTGTAATTATTCTAATAGAAGTATAGGTTTACAAATACTTTTTAAATGGGAGCTACCATTTTTCAATTAGTTTTAATCTAAAATTTGAAAATTAGTTGAGCAGTATTCACCATTTATTTTTAAAATAATGGTAAATATGTACTTTGTTAGAATAGAGCAAAATACAATGTTTAAATTTAGTGTCCATTTAATTCATAAAATTGTAAAACAAACATCTGAAGTTGTTTGAAGAACTGTTCTAAATGGTCCATTTAACTCATTTATTATTACTTCTCTTTGGAGCTTAAGGATTTGTTTATTACAAATTTCCGTGGAAAATCAAAATCCTATATTTCTCCAGAAAATTAGAGAAGAAAATGTATATATGCACAAGAGAGCAACGCTTCTCACTCGAACATAATTATTTATTGATTGTAGATAGTAATCAATATATTCATGATTATAATTTTCAAATTACATAATTTAATAGGGATCTAGTTCAATAGTATGTGTTTTCTGGGAATCAAATCTCGTAAATCTTATGCATTTTTATAGAAAAACTAGAAATGAAATTGTATGAAAGTTAGATAACTAAACATTAAAATTTCAGAAGTAATCAACAACTAAATACAGTGCTTAAATATTCAAGCAACAAATTAAAAAAAAAACAATTTTGACCTTTTTCCTTTTTAACTTTTGGAGTTCTTAGTATGATAATCAAATTAACTTTATTATATAAAACTCTTAAAAATAAATAAAGATTTAATCCACTATTCAACGAATAAGCACAATAATAATAATAATAATAAATATATATATAAAATTTAATTTCACATCACAATTTAATGAAAAATAATCTTGAATAAGAAAAATTAAATCTTGGTTGGTCTCCAAAGGATAGCTTAAGGCTTCAAGGAATATCGTTGAGGTTTTGAGTTTAAGTCACATGGAATGCAATTCCACCAAGCAATGACCCCTTGAGTATGTACGGGTATGGGGATAATGTACATACCCCAGGTATTGGGACATAAAGGCCAAAGAGCAGCCGATTACTGGGTAATAAAAAAAAAAATAAAAAATAAATCTTGCTTGCACTGTCTTCAGGAATCTTTTCTTCACAGTCTACGATATCATTTCTTGTATCGCCTTGCAGAATCTTGGCTTCCCTATCTATGATATTGTTTCCTGCACAAGAATATTTTGTTCCCTACTTATGATAGCATCTTCCTAGCCTCCCCTGCAACGATCAAGTGCAGAACAACCTCTTTGATATCGGTTGGCTTTATGTGTTAAACAAAGTTTGGGATCTTCAGGACTACATTCAAAAGCACCTAATTTATCAATTTCTAGAGCACCAAAACTAATGTATCGTATCGCATTTGTAATCTCAATCATGGCAATACTAATTGAGAAAATTACAATAAAGTTGAGCATGCTTCTCTTGGAGATTGCCATTATTGATAATAAAAGTTGATACAAAACGAGCTTAAAACTTGAATGATTTGATAGAAAAAACTTCAAACTAGAATATTTATACTTGGTAAACTTTTTAATATTAGTTTTTCTTTTTTGGCATTGGGCATATTTATCTTTTTAGAACCTAAATCCAACAAAAATTAGTTTTGAATTGTATGGCTAACAATTTGCCAACTTTGGATTCTAAATGACAACCTTTAACGAGAAGTAATGCTAATAAAATACTCTTGAAGAAAAGAACACAAAAATTGAAATAATTAACATAGCAACATAAAAAGTGGACTTTAAAAAGTATTCTACAAAGAAGATATATATTAACTTATAACTCTTAAGAGAAGGAAGTATATTTGAGATCCAATTTTAATCCTAATATATACAAGTAAAATACCACGAGAAATATATGTAATATAAAAATTGCACCAAACAAAATAATACTCGTATACATACTTTCTTTTTCTTTTTTATTATTGACAAAAAAAAAGATACAATAAAAAAGGTCCATCTGAGTTTAACTTAATTGATTAAGGCATTCATCTCCGATTAAAAGATTATGACTTTGAATCCTCACTCCAAACGTTTTGTTGTATGAGAAGTCATGACACAATAAAAAAAGAAATGTTAAATGGCACTTAATCAAATGAATCAAATTTAATTTTAAATTTGTAAATTTATTCTATCAATTGAAAATTTAACTTAGGATAAAATTAATAATCTCGTGAACATGTACGAGATCTAAGACTCTCGAAAAACCACCATACTTAGTCCACAAAATATAATTATTGTTAATTAAAAGTTTTATCAAAGATATTTTTTAAAAAAATGTAAAAATTAACTAAAAATAAAATGATTATGAATAGTAAAAAATATTACTTTTTATCCATTCCCCTTCGAAAGGGGATGGGAAAAATATCTTTTGGCCAATCATCACTGATTTAAATACGGAAAATTAAATTAGGAAGAATCAAATCATGATAAAAATATTTTTGTTTTTGTTTTTTGAATTTGTTATCAATCATTTACAATAGTGATTGTACTAGATCCAAAACTCAAAAAACATTTGACTCAACTTCGAATTTTTCATTTCACCAATTTAATTCAAAGTTGAAATCACAAAATAGAAAATATGTCATAAAATCGAGTAGCATTAATTATCAAGAAATAGAATAATTTTTTTCCTGGAAAAAATTATATATATATATATATATATATATATATATATATATATATATGAAAGTTAGGTAACTTTTCTTTTCTATCGTTTTTAAGAATCTTTTTTTTCCTTATATACTTCCCTATCCATGATCGATCTCGTGCATCGACTTTAATAATCTTTTCTTTCCTATGTTTGATAGCATCTTCTTCTTTGAAACGATTGATTATTACGCTACAACCTCTTTATTATCGATGGACTTCATGTGATAAACAAAATTAAGGATGTTCAAGGTCATATATTCAAAAGCACCTAATTTATCACCTTCCAAAGCACCAAAACTAATGCCTCTGTAATGAATTTGAAATCTCAATCATGCCAATAATAAACAAGAGAATTCCAATAAAATTGAACATGGTGGGAGATTGTCATTATTTATAATAAAAGTAGATACAAAAGGGGACTAAAATTGGAATGGTTTTTGACGTAAAAAACTTCAAACTAGGATATTTGTACTTGGTTAGCTTTTTAATATTACTTTTTGTTTTTTTTGGTGCTGTGCAATATTTATCTCTCTAGAAAAAAATCCAACAGAAATTGGTTTTGAATTGAATGGCTAATAATCTGCCAAATTTGCATGATTCAACGTAACTAAATGACAACTTTAAAGGAGAAGCAATACTAACAAAATAATCTGGATGAAAACAACAATAAAAACTGAAATAAGTAACAAAAACGCACGTAAAAAGTTGACTTAAAAGTATTATGCGAAGAAGATATATATATTTTTTTCACAATATTATGTTGAAGATTAGAAATAGAGAATTTGAACTTTGGGCTCGTAAGAAAATAAGTATATTGGAATCCATGCACGGGAGCCAAAACTCGAGGCATATTTTACTCCTCTTTCGTAGCATATTTTGTGAGCTATATTTTATGAGATTTATATTGGAATTATTTATTAGTTTTCGTTTCTTCATGAAAAATTAAATACATAAGATACATGTTACATGAATGAAGTATTGGAAGGAAACGAGACATAATTGGATCAAAATGAGAGAAAATCAGAGTCAAAGTGACTAAGGAGAAATAACAACAAGATTTGAAGCTAAAGACTCGAGGAGATAACGTTGAGAAAGCGTGCTTGAAAAATCTGTCATAGCATTGAAACAGTGTTCAGAGTGTTTCAACCTTGTCCATAGCATCTCAACGCTAATGCTGAGAAAGAGGAGTTTTGGAGAGGTTTTTCGGTAGTTTGCCTTTTTTGGCCTATTTGGAAGGCAAGGAGACCATTAGCGAGCTTAGAAAAGAGATTTTCAAGTCTCATCATTGTGGAGGTCGCTTCGGGGACGGACG